CTCATAATTCTGAAAGATAATAACACGGTCACAGCGCGTGAATGTTTGGTGTATGCTAGAAAGAGAAACCTCCACCATGTGAGCAACCTGTAGATCTGGGAAGAGCCATGGAGCAGTAAAGGAAGAAAATGTGTTTTTCAGAGGAAATGGGGCATTTTTCCTTTCCTCAACTCAACAGGGAGCTAAGGACAGTGAACATCTGTGTGGCTCAAACCTGTTAAGATAGGGCCAACACAGACATTTAGTGTCTGAAAAACATTATCTGCAGGGGCATCAAGGTCCTGAAATCAAGTTAAACTCCACTGTAACCTCCCAGTAGCACACTTTCCATTCTGATGATATGCAAGTTCTGCATGGGATGATGTTGCCTACATAAAACCCTTCACAGTTTGCTGTACTCTTTGCAGGTAGTGATCATGTGTGAATATAGGGATCTCTCACACGATTTGATCTCTTTCCGTCCTTAAGTGCCTATGCCTGTAAATATTTTACTGAGGCATCAGAACCTGAAGGATGTAATATTTCCTACATAGCTATGCAAATAATCCCTAGACAGACAGCTTTTTATATAGATGAAATGGAAAGTTTATTCATCTTGGCATATCAGAAAGCCATCATTTGTGTGATTGTTTTAATAATTGGAACTGTGCAAGTTACCTTGAGATCTTTTTAAAAGCTAAAACAGTTGCAGTGTATTTTCTCCTGGCTGTTGAACTTTCCAATAAAGCCCAAGTTTGTAAATTAATTGTTCATACTTCCCTGCTTCAGCTGTTGTATTTGCATTGCCTTTGCGACCTCTTCAGCTTGCTCCTGTTGTTTTCACTTCACACCTAGGCTGACCTTTTACTCTGTGCTGTTTTGCTAAGCCTGGTCTCCTTCATTCTGCAAGACGAGCAACGAGGCCAGTAAAAAATTAGCTCCTAAACACATGGGATGTGAGTTTCTTCATTAGTGTTAATTCCAGATCCTGCTGCCAGTAGGGTGAATGGAAGCCTGGCACTACTGACAACAGCGGTGGGCTTTTGCTTTCAGACCTGTTTCTGGTGTTCTGTTCAAAAAGAGGAATCCTGTCAAGTAGTTCTGCAGTGCCATTCCCTCAAATACGTGGCTTTGGGCAGAGTACAGCAAGTCTCATGTGTGCCGCTTCATCTGCTGTGCTGCTTGCTTGTTAGCTGCTACAGTCACAGGGTGAAATCTGGATAAATAATTTGCCAGAAAGAAAAAAAGACAAAACCAGATGTGCGTAAAGCACATTTGTTCTTACTTACGTGGCCTTTAGCATTCATTGTGCCCTCGTTGTGCTTGAAGGAGTAGCCTTGAACAGCGAATGTTGCTGTGTTCTTGTTAACGATGCTCTGCTGTGTTCTGCTGATTAAGCCATTGCCCTTTCCACTCTGGCTTTCCTATTGACTTAAAATCTGAGGTCACGTCTTCATGCATCTTTTCTGATCCCCAGGAAATGTTCCTGTTGTTCCCCTTACAAACAAAACTTCCCTCTCCAGGTGATGCTCAGGCTGTAACAGCTCTCCCACCGTTGGGAAGATTTTTGCCAGCCTGCCTCAAAACCACTTTTGTGGCAGTGGGTACCAAAAAACCCCGTGAGGGCTTCTATTCTTGGTCGTACAGATTTGTCATGAAATCCTGATGCTCAAAGTGATGGGGAAGGGTCCAGGAGGGCTGTGGTGCTCGCTGTGACACACTGCCTTACCTCCTTGCTGTCAGCCATGCAGTATCACGCCTGCACTTCACTCCTCTGCCCCTCTCCCTCTGCCAGTTCAGCAGTGATGCTCTGCTTTGGTGGTGTAGCAGAGCTTGAAAGTCTTTCCTGCAGTATGAATCTAGAAATGAAATATTGTAAAATCCGTCACCTGGTAATAGCACAGCTATAAAAAAAGCTACGCTTAAATGGCCTCTAGTTATTTACACAGAAAATTAAAGCAGTGTTTTGTAAACTTGGGGGTTGATCACGAATGCCTGCAATACAGGTTAGAACATCCTGTCCAAACGTCAGCTTAGGATGAAGCAGTCATCCTTATTGGTGTCTTACACCAGAGCCTATCTGTCCAACCTGGATTTTTTTCCTTAGCAGCCACTCCAGAGTTCATGCAAGGAATTGGCAGTTCTCTTCCTCCTCTCAGCGGATGTTCAATAGCCGAGCACAGCTTTTCTGTGCTAGCAAGCCTTTATTATCATACAAAATGTACCAGAATGTTATGTAGAAGTATCTTAAATAATTAAACAGAAACGACGACTGACAAAACAAACGAACAAAGTGCAATTTGAGCTGTGCTATTCTTTCCTTTTTATATTCACTTATTTGCTAATTTGCTGAACTTACTGAACTGCACCGGGTCTGGCTGTGATTAGAGGGAATTTGCCAAGTTCCTTTGTAATTGTTTCTTTGCAATTAACTAAATAATAGAATGTTCTGCGTGTAGCTCTCTGGGGAAAGGAAAGGAGCGGGCAGGTGCTTTTGCAATAGGATTTCCATATCTCCCACCCATTTCCCCAGATCTCACACTGGTAGAAGATGAGGGAAGGAAAGCGCTGCCTCAGGGCTGGGAATGACAGGATTGACCTTTTCATACCATTTCTTTCATTTGTTTAATGTTTTATGTCGGTCCCACTTGTGGCTGTTTGTTGGCACCCACAAGGCCTACCCATCCCCCTGCTGGCTGTGGCACTTTTAAATCCATATTGTTGGCTAAAGCCTTTCCTAACGTGTGCCAGGGCTGCCAGTCAGGAGGTCCCTCGCTTCGTGGTGTATTAAAATTGGAATTGCTTCATCACGGAGTGAATAAAAAGAATCATGGGTGTGGGGTGACTGTTACTAATGGTGCTCTGGTTGCACAGGGAGGAGCATCTGAAGTCAGAAGCTGCTGAAGAGTGAAAAAGAGGTATTTTCTAGGAGTATTTTCTCAGTCTGGTGGCCTCAGGGGCAGCTGGGGCCATCTTGCTGGTTTTGTCCATCCTTCTGTCTTCACTGCCTTTAATTTTGAACACATCTGTGTATTTTATCCAGAGATTCGGTAGCAGAGCCGCTGCCATAGAAGTTAGCAAACGCTAATGTGGCTCTTTGGGTCACTTTGCAGCAGGATTACCGTTTAGCAAGCTGACATTTGCAGTTTGCTTTGGTTGATTGTAGAACTGTTTTCTGTGCAAGGGTGACTTGCTGTGAGCTCTTGTTTCTGGTCTGTCACAGCGGTGCCTCGTTTGTCCATTTTGCTTTGGCAAAACAAGAGAGTACCTATTTGTGCTGGGAGGGAAAAGGCTGCTGGAATCAGGGAAGCCTTGCTAAGTGGTGTGTTGTCATGTAATCAAGGATTGCCTGAATGGAATCAAATGAGAGATGGGAGGCATCTAAGAAAGGCAAACAGTGCTTCCTGACGTGGTACAGCAGGCTGCTGTGCCCCACCATGCAGAGCATGGCCAGAGCTGGATCCTGTCCTTTGTCTTTTATTCCCAGTTTGCCGAATTTATTTTTACATTTTCCCAAATCATTATCAATAATTGTGGGATAGAAATTAAAACTGTTGATGCTTCTGTTTCTCTCTAATCCCCAATCCTCATTCTGCTCTAATTTAATCCAGCTGTCACTGCAATGAATGGCAGTGAGGGACATGCACGGGGTGCTGCGAGGCGGCTCCCATCCCTGCTTACCCCCACCCCATGCAGGGCCTCATCCTGCCGCTGCTGCTGACACCCCTGTTAATGGCATCCAGCTTTCTCTGCATTTTGTCCCAAAACATTTCGTTCAGTTTGATTTACACCAGCGCTGTCAAATGGGATCTCCGTGTTGAGTGACTGCTGCATCTGCTTTTATTCCACGTCCATCACATGGCTCACAAAGGCACTTGGATGCATGGCCTGGCGGGGAGTTTCCATCCAGAGCCCCGTGGCAGCAGCAACATCTGCAGCACAGATTCCACCCCAGAGCGCTTTAACGCTGAACTGCTTAAACTGTGGCATCGGTGGCTGATGCAGAGATCTCACGGTGTGAGCAAGGTCTCAGCTCCTTGTCTTGGGGTCGTTTGAACTGGAGGTGAAATATTGCAGACCATGAAATAATTCCCTCATCCTGGCAGGCACTGTGAAAAAGAAAAAAAAAAGAAAAGAACAGAAAATGTGCTGTTGTTCTGCTGTCCTGCTGCACAAGGCCGCAGGAGTGGAGGTGCTCTGTCTTGCACCCCTGTGTATCTCATACTTGTGCACACAGCGCTGTGAGCTCAGATGTGGGATGCGGTGCTGTTTGTGAGCGGTAAGATTTCACTTCCTAACAACACATTTGAAAATCCTGCCCTGGTCAAGATCTCTCCCAGCGGTTGTAATGCTGCACTGTGGGGCTCGGAGCTGTCGGCTTGGTGACCCACAGGTCCACATCAGCGTGAGTTACTGAAGCAGTGCCGCTTTTGTGCTGGGGGCTGTGAGAGGCCAAACCTGTGTGCGAACTGTGCACCGCGGTGAGCTCGGTGTGATGGGGCGCGCTAGGAAACCTCACGAGGAGCCTCTGGACACCTCGGTGCTGAAAATCCCCCCTCGTTTTTGGAAAACGCTCGTGTTCGGACGCTCAGGAAGCCAACATCGAAGCACGCTGCACAAACGCCCGGTGCGGGGGCACGCCGAGCCCTCAGCTCAGCACCTCGAAGGTCCGAATCCGCGCGTCCCTCTGCCGCGGGACCGCAGTGCGTGGGGTCAGCGGGGCGAGCTCCGCGTTGGAGCATCCATCCACAGCCGGGCCCGGCAGGTAGGCCCGCCCCGCGCCCGCAGCCCCGCACGGGGGGGCCGCTCCCCTCCGCCGGCGGTTGGGCGGAGCGCGGCGGCGCCAATGGGAGCGGGCGGGCGGCGCCAGGCGCGGGGGTGGTGGAGCCTCTCGGCGAACAAAGAGGGAGCGAGCGGCGCGGCGGGAGGGGAAGAGGGAGGCGGGGGAGACGGCCATGCGGGGCCGCAGGTGAGGCGAGGACCCAGCAGCCCGGAGCGCTCCATGGCCGGCGGCTCGGGGTGAATGAAGCAGGCGAGGCGGGCATGGCGGGCGTCAGCTACTCGCCGCCCTGGTGGGTGAGCCTGCTGCACCGCCTGCCGCACCTCAGCCTGCGCTGGGAGCTCACCGCCGCCGACTTCCGCCCGGACGACGCCGAGTACCAGCAGGTGAGCGCGGCGCTCCGAGCGCGGTGCCGAGAAGGGGCCGCGTCCCCTCCATCCGTGTGGGGGTAGGGGGCCGTCCCGTCCCATCCCGTCCTCTTTCCTCCCCGCCCGGCTGCGTTCCGTGCCCTGGGGCCGCCGGGTCGGAATCGCCCGAGGGTTCGGTGCCGCTCTGTTGGCCGCGTGGTTGCGATGATCGCGGAACCGCGCGTTCGGCTGTCATCTCGGAGCGGGGCTGCGGTGGCTCCGAGTCGCCTCTCAGAGCCGCGGCCGCCGGGATCGGTTGGCTGCACCATTTTGCTTTTGGAGAGGACTCGTGCCGTCCTGGAACCGCAGCCGCTGCTGCGGGAAAAAGGCTCCGGCCGTGAAGGTGCGGGCGATGCTGCGGCAAGAACGGCGATCGGAGCGAGGCGGGAGCGCGGCTTTGCGGGGTGATGCCGGTGCGGAACGCGGAGGCGATGTGTGGATGCTGAGAAACGTCTTTAAACCAATAACCGGAGCGGAGCACTGACCCGGCTGGAGCGTCTGGGGTTTCGTTGCGTGAACTTGCTGTGGTTCCCGTGGCCGAGGGGCTCAATATGGCCACGCAGGGCCGTGGGCTGCAGGCGGCCTGCTGTGCCCCATCCCTTTGGGGGGGGCTGCCCCTGGGCCGGGGGGCTGCGTGTGCCGTGTGAGCACAGAGCTCACAGCCGGCTGTGCTGTGTGACCTTTGGGTGCCCCGCAGGTGTGTGGATGTCACCTGGATGGCCCAAAATGCTCCTCGCAGCGCTTTGCAGTTGTGCTCAGATAATTTTACTGTAATCGCGTTTGGACTTCTGCTCTCTCCTTCTCCTCTGTGTAGTGCAGTGCTGCCCTTCCTGCCATGCTGTTCAGGACTCCTCACGTGGCAGCCGATGGCCTTTTCAGTCTGAACATCAGCTCGAAAGAAAATGTCTTATCAAATCTCAACCCAAATGTCTGGATTACTGCGGGGTCTGTCTTTGGGAGCACGATGTGAATTGCAGCTTTGCTGATTTCAGGGCTGGGGGGGGGGTGGCCGACAGCTCCAGCAATGCAGGCACTGTTATCAGTGCTTATATAACCGTGCTGCTGCGAGTTGGCACTGGAGTTTGTAGCCACATAGATTAATTCTAAGGCAGTGAAACAGGGCAGCTTAATCCGGGAGTGGGAACTGTAATGCTGAGTGCTCTCTCATGCTTCAAATTGTTCTGAATTCTGGCTTTTTCCATTTGCTTTATTATGAATTTGCATCCCCTGCTCTGCTTGCAGCCGGTGCTGGCATAGTTTCCCCTTCTCTTTAGGAACCTGTCACGTTATGGAGGCGGAACCATATAAAACCCTGAAAATAAGGCAGTCCACTTCTTGATTTAAATCCTGTTTATTGCTCTCTTCTTCAGAGGTCTCACAAGGTGGCCCAGTTTGTGGTTGTATTTGTTTTCTACTCTGTGGTTGATGCCCTCGTTCTGAGGGCATGTGAGCTGTCAGTGCCCACGGTATGTGAGGTCACTGGGGGATGCTCGCTGGGAGCGTATGGGGATGGGAAAGGACAGAGCGTCCCTGGCTGCAGTAAGGAAGGATTACATTTGCTAAATTGAAAACACCTTCAAGTTTCCATGACTTCAAGCCATAGAGTAGTTGGACGGCTGTCATTAAATAGCATACAGCAGGTCACTGTATCCATTCTCATTCTGATTCCACATGAGGAAGGAAGCAGTGTGTCTTCTCTGGTTCTCAGGAGAAGATTTCCCAGTCATGAGAGAGGGAAAACATTGCTTTCTTTATAAAGTACTGTTTCCTTTAGGATCGTCTTAGTGAAAGCCCACCCTCTCTGTGCTCGTGTTGTGATGGTAGTCTTTGAATTTTGGTAATATCAGTCACCATTTGAACAAAATATGAGACCCAGTGGCTTGGATGTGGGTGCTGTCCTGTCACCTGTTGGAGTGCCACGTGCTGTGGGTGAGGAGGGTACAGATGTACCAGGATGTAACCTCTACCTGTCAGGGATTACTGTAATGCCTGAGCCTCTATTCCACTGAAGCAGCAGACACGCTGTTGTCCCCTGAAACCTCTCTGAAGTGCGTGTAGTTCTTAGATAAGCACTCACTGTCTGTGTTTGAAATCAGATCTCTGTGTCTCCTGGGACTCCGGGCGGTGAGCACATCTGTGAGGACCCAGGCTTAACAGCAGTTCTGCTGCTCTGTCCCACACAGCCCCATTCTACAAAGCAGTTACACTGCTGTGCACTGGCCCATATGGAGGCAGCCTCCCACAACCAGGTGGCTTCTTTTGTCCGAGAGCTCGAGGAGTGCTTATGGTGATGCTGCCCAAGGGCTAGGGTTGGTGCAGCTGGGGGCTTTGACCATGTACCTCCTTTACCTTGAGTTGCTCTCTGAAATGCCATCCCCTGGTATTATTTACTTCTTATCTTCTCCCACTGCGTATCATGTTGTGCTAGGTTAGAACACTGCGTGCAGCAGCAGAACAAATCCTCCCACCAGGACTGAATTGTTTCAGTGTATGTATATGCATGGCCTTCAGATGGCTGGCTTCCCTCTCAACAGTCTGAGGGCATCTTCCCTACCCAGGGGAAGGGAGGTGAGCTTCAGCCCAGGGTGAGCTGTGATCCCTCACATCTGGGGTTGATGTGCTGGGTGATCCCATCAGAGCTGCCTCCATGTGCTGCTCCGTAGAGCCTTCCATACACAGCAGCTCATCTCTCTAGTTCCTGCCCTCCCGTGAGTCACTGGGATTGAAGATATCTTGATATGAACAGTTTTGTTCTGGCTGTATTCTCATCTGAGTCATACTGCAGTGCTCTGCAAAGCCTTTTCATTGTGTAGTGAGTCACAAACTCTGGAGTGAAGGGAATGTAAAAATGGAGCACAGCCTGTGTTCCCTCTGACAGTTCTGGTTTCTGTGCCTTTTGCTGCTGAGCAGATAATGGCCATTGCAGCAGCGCTGTCCACTTTCCCAGTTAACTTGAATGGGAAATGAAGGTGTTCCTTAGGCTGCTGGTGTCACTAACTTAATCTGTTGTTTGTGCTTTATTGCACAGCATTGAGTTCACTTTATTTCTGAGAGTTGGTTAAGGTACTGTGGAGGTCACGTGCTGGAAGCTGCACAGTGGGTGTAGGGATAGTTGTTTGAGATGGGGGCCTTTGGTACCAGCAGGAAAGGAACCTAGAATGCTTCTCTGTAGCTCTTATGTCTCACTGTGAGCTGAGAAATGCTCTATAAACAGTGAAGAGAGAGACTAGATATGGTTTAGTGGCTTGTGGTAGCAATGGTAGCAGGAGGACAGTTGTGCTAGGTGATCTTCTAGGTCCTTTCCAACCTTGTGATTCTATGGTTCTAAGGGGAAAAGAGGCTGCAAGAAGCTGAGCTGTGGAGTACTGGACTTAAACTTCTGCTCTTCTTAACTGTTGCAGAATGGTGAAGTTGACCTGAATCTGTGTAAATGTGGGCTCTGTGTGAAGCAGACTAGAGGAGAGCAAAGCCCTCCAGCGCATCTTTGAAGCTCTTTCCTTGCATCCCAGCAGCGCTGCTTCTGTTGCACACAGACAGTAGGTGCAGGGGCAGCTGAACGTGCATGGGGAAAAAGCCTGCATGATGGATTCCCACCAGTTCAGAAGCACGGCCATGCTGAAAGTAGCAAAGATAAGAACAGGGCTGTGCTCCAGTCCGCGGTTTTGAGATGGTCTATCTGACTGTGTCACCCAGGAGGTTCTTTGCATGCCCTGCTTGGTGCTGTTATGCAGTAGTATGTTTTTATCCCCTGATATATGTGCTGGGGGACCCAGCAGTGTGAAGGGCTGTGTAAACCCAAGGGCGCTGCCTTTTGTTGGCTTGCAGCCTCTCATCCATGTGTGTTTCAACGTGTAGGCAAGAGTTCAGCACGGAATGAATTCTGTCAGGTACTCGCTGGCTCTGTGAGGCTGTTTCCCTGCACATAACAGCTAATGTCGTCTTTGGAAGTATTTCTTGGCTGGGGAACCACGGTGAAGCCTGAACTGCCAAAAAACTTGGATTAGAGAGATTGTTTTAGAACTTCCTCTACTGTACTGGCGTCCTATTTCAATGCTGAAACCAAGAGTCTTTCTGTAAATTGGGAACATGTGTCTTAGTCAAAGTGGATGACGTGTTCTTGTCTAGTTGGCTCCCAGTCAGCGGGTAATGGGCCTTTCTGAAGGGGGGGGGGGAGGGGGGGTCAGGCTGAAGGCTGCATTTGGGAACAGTTGGACCTCTTCCAAAGCCTGATCAGCATCCCACTGCAGCATTCGTTTCTTCGCACTTTCAGAAAGGTTAGGTGACCCTGGTTAGCAGAATCCAATGTTTTCTAATTATGCTGAAGTCGCTTTCAGATTTTGAAGAACTAATGGTAAATCCCTGCTTCCCTCTTCTCATCAGTGTTGGTTGCATGAGTAACTGTGTGCTTATACATCAGCCCCACTCCGGTCTGTTTGATCTGAGGGAGCTGCAGCACAATGGCTGACCAAGAAATGTGGAACTGAGACAGTTTTTGATGGTTGATTTACTGAAGTAAGGCACAGAAAGGTTTCTGTATACCATACATCCAGTTGCACAGCAGCATATGGTATACAGACAGGGAAAGAAGTCAACCTCTGCCAGCTTTCTGTCTGCAGCCATACTTTTTTGCTGACCCATGCTGTGCTGCTACGTTTTCAGATGGTCTCCTGAGGGCTCACAGTTTCTGGAAACCCTGGCTGTGGATCGCTGCACTCTGCTCAGAGAGCAACATTTCTAAATGTATGGTTTTAGCAAACCTAAGTATGCACAGAGGTAAAGGACGGCTTGGAGAAATGTGGAATGCATTGTAGGGGAAAGAGCTGAGAGTGTGCAGAGGGGGGAAACTGCTTTGTACGTGTCGAATCCTGAAAGTATTAATCCTGTGCAGAGAAGATGTTGCCAGCCCTGCTGAACTTTCCAGTGCAAGGAAACCCTTATGCTGTGCCTGGCTTGGGCAGCATCGTGCTGCTCTCAGCTGC